TGTCAGAAATCAACGCGCAGGTCGCCAGTCCCACATGTGCGCGCCGCCAGTCCCCCCTCTTGGCACACGCTAACATCGATTACGGATCGGGATCCGAAACACGAGGTCACGCCGCAACATCTGACGACGGCGCGGACCGACTACGCACGGAAACGGGACCCGTCGCTAGTCCACGCGCCTCATGCTATGTTTGCGGTTCCTCGACACCTTTCCCTTATGCTTCCAACAGGTACCGATAACGTTACTCTCCAGACCTCGCCCAGGGCGCCTTCTGACAAGAATTTCATGGCGAATCCAGCCGTAGCGACGAGGGCCTCAAAGCAGACCCAGAAAGGCATAGGGGTAGCAGTATCGGCAGAAGGTGGCGACATCCGAACCCTACCCCCACCAACAATCGAGTTTCCTGATACGGTGGGAGGGGGGGTAGGGTCTGGATTTGGCCACATGTTCGACAAATCCCGACCCCTATCCCAATCCCTGCCCCCGCCGTCCATCGAGCTGCCTGAACCGTTGATCGGCGAGGGTATGATTCGGATCTCGCCACCGAATCGGTTCCAGCTGCCTCGACCCCTTCCCTTGGGACACCCGAACTGGGTACAGAAAAAGGATGTACGTTGTCCAAAACCGACAGCGGTCGCTTTTGGGCAGGCGGCCTCCTGTCTCAAGTCGACAGCGACCGCAGCCTCGCCGACAGCGAACCCTGCTCCGAATCAACAAGCGCTCATGCCGGACTTGGTGCCCACTGCCTTCGTACCCGCCTCCATCGTCCGAGCTCCCCGCTGCCCCTCCCGGCGCACCACCCGCAGCCCCCCGCGGCCTGAGGCTCGCGCTGTAGGGCGGCGGCTCGTCGGGCGGCAGCGGCGAGCGAGGCCCTGGCCGCCCCGCCCCGCCCGGCCCCGCCCGGAGAGGGCGGCACCCGCCAGCCGCCCGCCTGGGCAGGTGCAGCCAGGCCGTGGCCACACCGGAGGCCTCCCCGATGGGGTCCGAGCAGCTGGGGTCGGAGGATCGCGCCGCATCGCCGATGCATGGGCGATGCACCGGCGATGCACCGGCGAAGTCGGCGGTGCATGGGCGACGCCAGCGCGGAGAAAATGGGGCTCCACATCGAGCCGCATCGGCGATGCATCGGCGATGGATCACCGCGGCCAGAGAAGCCCCATCGTTTCTCATTCGGCGCTCCGCGTGGCAGCACGAGGACCCCCGCAGTGCTCTTCGATTTTGGGGCATCTCGCCACAGGGCTTTGGCCCTTCGGCGACCCCCGAGATCCGACGCTGCGACAAAGAGGCAGCACCGCGCACAATCACGGCCAGGGGCCCCACACTATAGGGCAGAAAATCCACCCCGATAATAACCACCCCGACACGCGAAGCCGTTTCGTAAGCGCACCCAAACAAGGAATCGAACAGGGCAGGGCTGTTTAGTATAAACGCCGAGGGCCCTTTAGTAAATGCCAATTGTCCGGTCCAGGTGCTTACTCCTCGCCTGATACACCCCACCTGTCGGCTAAAGGTATCGGGCCCGACCGACCTGTGGTGGTTCCGGGGCCCACCCGAGACCGGGCGAAGGCGTCCCGAGCGGAACAACGGCAGCGCCCGGGTCTACGGAAGGGGGCTCTTGCTCTCGACGCGAGGTCCTGTAGTCGGCGTCGCCCAAGCGTGCCTGTGCTCTGTGTGCGTCGGCGCCCCAGGGGCGACGCGCGCTCTCTCAGAAATGCTATGGTGTATGCTCGTCTGGCCATACCGCCTGGGTAACGCTACGCATCATGAGATAACCGCAAAATGTGTTCGGCTCGGACGTGCGCCTTCAAGGGCGGCGCATAGTCCCAGCATGTCATACTGCGTCCCATGTATCTAATGAGGCCTCCCAGGTGGGGTTGGACTGGGGTCCTGCGGCCAAGTGACTGCAACCAAGCCGGCCGATGAAAAATCCCCTCGGGGGCTCTTGAGGCCAGCGTGCCTGCGGTACAACGTCGAATGAGTACCGTCGGCGATGGGGCGGTGCAAAAATGGTGCCAAAACAAACATGAAAAATGCCAGCACAATGACAGCACTTCGACCAGGACGCAGAATGACAGCACTTCGGTGCAGTGTTGTCTGGCTGCTGGTGATGCGCACGTAGCAAGGCATGGAAGAGGAGGCCTCCCAAATGGGGCCAGAGCAGATCGGGTCGGAGAGGATCCCGCCACATGGCATAACCGAGGCATCGGCGAAGCATCGGCGAGGGCAGGATGGAGAGGAGCGGGCTCCAGCTCACCCCGTGTTGCCGATGCATCGGCGATGCGGCGCGATTCTCCGGTCCGACCCCATCTGCTATGGCCCCGTTTTGGAAGCCTGGAGGTCTGGTCCAAGTATCCCTGGAGTCTGCAGATGATCCTCAGAACATGTTGTTAGCGCCAACGTGTGCTTATCCTCCGACGCAGACGCTGCGACGAGAGCCAGCACAAGAACCAGGGAATGCGCACGAGAGGCTAACATGGGAGAGCAAGAGCACCCCCACCCAACCTGGCCACCATCCCAAGGAACCCGTCTAGAAGCCTCCTAATTAGATGGGATCCGAGTAGATGGGGTCCGAGGATCGAGCCGCATCATCGATGCATCGGCCATGCATCGGCCATGCATTGGCGACGTCGGCAATGCATCGACGCCGTCAGCGTTGAGCAAATCGGGCTCCACATCGAGCCGCATCGTCGATGCATCGCCGATGCATCGACGATGCGGCGCGATCCTCCGACCCCATCTACTCCGACCAGACGGTCGGCTTCGCCCGCGGCAGGTTTCGCCCAGTCGACTTCGCTCGCGGCGGGCTTCGCCCGCGGCGGGTTTCGCCCGTCGAGCTTCGCCCAACGGGTTTCGCGGCTGTCAACCGCGGCTGGCTTCGACGTCGTCTCTTTATCCCCTTGGTCGCCTTCGTTCGCTCGTCGTCGAGGGCGGCTTTGCGTCGTCGGCTCGACGTCGTCGATGACGCGTCGTCGTTCGCTGTCGTTCATAGTCGTGGTCGTCCTTCGTCGTCATTCCTCGCCCTGGTCGGCCTTCGGCCGACCCGCCCGTCACAGCCCGCAGGTACATGTGCTTGCAAGCACGCACGCCCGCTTTAATGTCCGGCCCGCCAGACCCGCCCGTTCGCATCTCACCTGCGCGACCCGCCCGCTAAGGCCCTGCCCGCCCGATCCGTCCGACCCGCCCGTTAGAATTCCGCCCGCCCGACCCGCCTGTCATGGCTTGAGTGTCCCGCCCGTCAGGGTTCCGCGGCGAAACACGCCCCAGCGAAACCGACAACTGGCAAAACCAACCGTCGCCCAGATACGCATCCCTCCCGGGGTTCCTGGGTCCCACAAAAAAGCCCCAGGACGGACCAAGAGTGCTGGAAAAGGGCCCCAAGACGGTCCAAGAGAGCCCCGCATCGCCGAACGATCTGTCCAGGACGCCGTCACGACCTCCTGAAAGGCGCATGAGGCCTGCAAAACGCCTCAAGAGGCCTCCAGGAGCGGCAAAACTATTAATTTCCCTGCCCCGAGATCGCCCCAAGACTGCCCAAAGTCCTCCAAGAGGTTCCCAACATGGCCCACGAGGGCCCAAAGACGGCCCGAGACGCTCTGCCGGGGTGCCCAGACGGAGGGGGCCGAACGGACCTCCCGAGCCCTCGCCTCCGAGAAGCTTTCAGGAGGCCCGAAGATCTCTCGAAGACGCCTCGAAGACGCCCCCAAGAAGCCCCCAGGAAGCCCCTGCAGGCTTCAGGAGACCCCGACAAACATACCCTCCTTCCCCTGCTCCTCCTCCTCCTCCTCCTCCTCCTGCTCCTCCGCCTCGTTTTCGTCGTCCTCCACCTGCTCATCTTCCTCCGTCCTGTTCCACCTGCTCCTCCTTTTGTTTCTCACCCATTTGTCCTCCTCCTCCTCCTCCTCCTCAGTACCCATCATCCTCATCCTCATCATCCTCCTGCTCCCTCCTCCTTCGTGTGCCCGCTTGTCCAGACCTCCACAACCATACCTCGACGTCGGCCTTCCCATGATCCTCGTCTTCCTGCCGCTCCTCCTCCCCCTCCTCCGCGTCCTGCTCATTCTCCTGCTCCTCCGACTCCCATTATCTTCGTGATCCTACTGCTCCTTCCTCCCCCGTCCTGACCCTGGCACTGATACCCCTCCGATCCCTCCTCCGAACCCTCCTCCTCCCCCCCCTGCCTTCACAATATTGCACAACATAGACTACAGCACATAAACCCTCGTCGTCGTCTTCGTCGTCGTCGGCGTCGTCGTAGGCGTCGTCGTCGTAGTCGTCGGCGTCGTCGTCGGCGTCGTCGTCGTCGGCGTCGGCGTCGGCGTCGACGTCGTCGTCGAAGTCGTCGTCGTCGGTGTCGTCGTCGTCGTTGTCGTCGTCGTCGAAGCCGTCGGGATCGTCGTCGGTGTCGTCGCAGTCGTCGTCGGCGGCGTCGTCGTCGTTGTCGCTGTGGTCGTCGGCGTCGGTGTCGTTGCCAAGTGCCATGTGGTACCTACCGTCACGGTCCTAAGAGGTCTTGCGACCAAGTTGCGGGTGGGAGGGTGGGATGTTTGCACGAGCAGTGGAGAGGACAGCTTCAAGACAGTCAAAGTGAACTGCTCCACATAGATTGCACCACGTATACCGCACAGCAGAGAGTGCGCGATATAGCTCGCAACTCATATATTGCACAGAATAGGTTGCACCACCTACATTGCACCCAACTATTTGTAGATATACAGATTACACGACTTTGATTTGTTAACACATATTGCGCACCATCTACTTCTAGAAACACACTGCTTGGGGGGTCCCCGCTGGCCAACATTAATGAGGAAACGGGATGGGGCGGAGGAGAGGGGAGGAGGAAAGGGAGGAGGGAGGAGGGAGGAGGAGGACGAGGAGGAGGAGGCGGAGGAGGAAGGAGGAGGATCGAAAAGATCAGGAAGACGTACCTCCCCCACGTGGCCTCCCCCGCCCCCAGCCGCCTCGCGCCGACGCCGGGCACCACGGCTGACCGCCGAGCGTCATGAGCATACCTCCCGCACCGCCCCGCGTCTCCGCCGCTTACCCCGCCTCCGCCCCTCCTCCTCCTCGGGGTCGGGTCCTCCTCGAGGCACCACCATGAGCATGGTTAAACGAATCCCCGTCTCCACTGGCCAGGCTGCACATCTGGTGCTCTCTTCGGGCTTCGCGGGACCTATCATCACCTGCCCCACCTACGCCCGCTCTCCTCCTCGTCGGGGTCGAGCAGGACGGACGAAACGGGAGGTCAGAAAGGGGAGAGTAAGCAAATCGGCTGACGTCGTCGCTGGAGTCGTCGTCGTCGACATCATCAGCACAACCATCACCGCCACATTGTCACCATCGTTGCCGCCATCGCCATCATGCTCATCAACTATAGCACAATCGCCATGGTCGTTAGCACCCATCACCATCCACCATCACGCACATTGCCTGATCATATTCATCGTCATCATCGTCAGCATCGCCTTCGCCAACAGCAGCAGCAGCAGCATCATCATCATCATCAGCAGCTGCATCAGCATCAGCATCAGCATCAGCATCTTCATCATCATCATCATCATCATCATCATCATCATCATCATCATCATCATCATCGTCATCATCATCATCAGCATCAGCAGCATCGTCATCATCAGCAGCATCAGCATCAGCATCAGCATCCTCATCATCAGCATCAGCATCATCATCAGCAGCATCAGCATCATCATCATCATCATCATCAACAGCAGCAGCAGCATCGTCATGACGAGCACCGACAACACCAGCATCGGCAACATCATCAGCATGTCGGTCGTGCTCATAACCATCATCCTCAACATAATTAGTACCGTCATCATCACGACCATCAGGACCATTGCAATCCTCATCATCAGCATCACCACCATCACAGTCAGTACAATTATCGTCATAATCACCATCGTCATCGCCATCACCGTCGTCATATTCCGTACGTCCCTCATCCCCCTCCTATATGTCCTCGTCCTACTCCACCGCTGCTCAATATGAGCCCTACCTTCTCTCTCCTCACATCGTTCTGGTATAAAACAACTATCTCGCACGCTATCCGTTCCTCCCACAAAAGGAATCAGGATTGGCTTTCGATATGGTAGTTTCCGTCAGAACGCTCCTGGCCAGTCAAAAACTACGCTTCCGCCGCAAACTAGGCCACATTTCACGATTGCGCTTTGCCCCTGACGTTCACGATGGCGATCTCGCCCCAACGAGGGCCACATTCCAAAATCCGGTTCCTGCCTCGTCGTCCCCGCACCCGTCATATCTCCCAAGACCGGCGCCCTCGGGGCCCCCTGCCCCAAAAAATACTCCGCATCCTGCTCGTCGCCGTGCTCGCGAGTGGCTGGCCGATGGCAAGTATCCAGCCACTGGAGTCAGGCTCAGATGATTCACTTGTAAATCGCGGGTGGCCTCTTCGGGCAGCCGAAACGCTGCTTATTTTCATGTGTCATGTAGGAATATGGGTTTTGCTTTCGGACGGAACCCTGCTCAATAGCTCGCTCGATCATTCATCTGCCTCCTCCTCCTCTACTCCTCGCCCTCCTCCTCCTCATCATCATCATTATCCTCCTCCTCCTCCTCCTCCTCCCCCTCCTCCTCCTGCTCCTCCTCCTCCTAATCATCATCATCATCATCATCATCATCATCATCATCATCAGCAGCAGCAGCAGCAGCATCATCAGCATCATCATCATCATCATCATCATCATCATCATCATCATCATCATCAGCAGCAGCAGCAGCAGCAGCATCAGCATCATCATCCGCCTCCACCTCCTCCTCCTCCTCCTCCTCCTCCAACTCCTCCTCCTCCCCCTCCTCCTCTTCAGGGGGCTGCCTTGCGTTTTGTCCTTGCCCTGCGACGCGCCGCTCTGTGTACCACAATTGCGGGTTCAATCCGCCCCCGCCTGGCGCAAGGCCGCCACGTCTGCGCGGCAGCCTGCGCTGCTGCGGACCTGCCAGGCGGTGGCCCTGCGCAACGCTACGGGCAGCTCGGCCTCCCAACGCCGGCAAAGGGCGCTGCAGACCGTTTCGGTCTTGTCTTCAACTAGCTGCGCCTGGTCGCGCGCCAGCTTGCGGAGGTGGCGCAAAGCGGCCTTCCTGCGCTGTCCTATTGTCTCTAAGGCGAAGGGGAGCACCGGCCAAGGGCAGCGGCCCTCTGGGTACCGTTGCCTCTTGTCGGCCTGAGGTCAGGCCCGCCTCATCCCCTGGCACGGCGTACTGGACTGTCACATCGATGAACAGCCGCGGACAGCGGACGCGCTGTGCTTCTATATCGACGATGGTTTCCTCTGCGTGGTAGACGAAAGGCCGGCCGCAACCGCCGCAAGGGCCTGCGGGAGGCTGGTGGCTCGTGCCCCGCGCGACGCAGCCCTGGCAGCGCCACGACCCCCGGTCCCACCCGGGGACATGGACTTGCGGGGCCGCGTGGTAACCGCGCACGTTGTGAATGCGCCGTCGCACGCCCTCGACGTCCCCGGTGCACGCTATTACGCCGCCGCCGCAGCACACCGAAAACGTGGTGCTTTGCAGCAAAGGCGTTCCCCGCAGACCCGGCCTGCGCGCAGGCCCGTGCGGGTGCAATTAGCGCAGAGAGTCGAGGCGGCGCTGAGTCGATGGCCTAAAAATGCGCGCGTTGACAGGCAGAGCTCTGCGTCGCTCGGTCGTTGTCCCGCCGCCCCCTGCGCGGCCTGCTGCCAGGCGGCTGCGTACGGTCCGCCGCAGGTGCACAGCCTCGCCTTTTCCTTGTTTGCGAAAACGCTCCGCAAGGCCGAAGAGTTGTTTTGATCAAGTCGTCGCGTGGGCGTTTTTCGCACCTTGTCGTTAAGGGTTTAACGACATCTGCCGCCCCTCGACTCGCGACAGAGGGGCCGCGAGTTGTTCAACATTTCCTTGGAAATCTCTGGATTCACTGTGTACTCCCTGGATTCACCAGGATCCACCTCGATTCGTATGCATTCACCTTACTCATCTGGTCTGATCCCCACAGGTCGATTGGCGAAACGTCGTCAAGCCCTTCCCGGACCTTGGTGCGAGGTTCGTGGGCGATGGTGGCCCAAGCTCGGGGGGGGGGGGCGGGGGCGACTCCTGCACCTGCAGGCGCCAGAAGGCGCCCCTGTGTCGAGGAATGGGCCCGGCGGCGGGGCGAAAACCAGCTACGTGCAGCAGATGTCGTAACCCCCCCTTCCCCCAAGTCCCCCCCTTCCCGCTCGGTCCGACAGGCGGGGAGGCCGTCAAGAAAATAACGAGACCCGAGTTTTAGCGTACTCGAGTCTGACGTCCCCGGCACACGGCTACCAGGGGCTGATCGGCCTCCCCCTCCCCCTCCCTCCTCCCGCCTCCGCCTTACTTCGAGTAGGGGATCGACTAAACAATTGGGCGACGATACGAAAATAGCGTCTTACGCAAGATGGCATAGCGACCTCACGCGGCGGCTCACGCGGGCTGCCAGCGCGGCACGCTATTTTGGAGACGAGGGCGCTGACGCGCGACTTTACGCGGGCACCTTACGCGCCAGTGTCGGCGCAGATGACCTTATTTTCTTGGCGTCGCTCAATTGATTTACCCCAAAATAGATTTCTTCCACGGGAGGCGGCTCGCTGGCAGCACCGGGCTCCCCACGAGGGAAGAATAGGGCTCCAGGAGGGGATCGACTACAGAATTTGTTTATCCCAGAATGGATGGCCCGCCGAACCTAAAAAAGTTTCATGGAATGGTCCGTTGATCTAAAGAACATTCTACGAGTTGTTCGTAGACTCGGCGGAAAATCAATGTTAGAGTACTGAACCAATTACGTAGTTGATCCTCCACTCGTTTACTTCTTTACGACCCCATTCGCGCCAATACAGTTATCCGATCCTGGACGCAGGACAACTCTACCCGAGAGAGCTAGGCATTTCCTAAAGGGGGGGTCAGCCTCGCGGATGGCCTCGCGGAAGCCCCTCCTCCTCCTCGTCCTCCCCATCATCGTCATCAGCATCATCCTGATCATCATCATCATCATCATCATCATCCTCATCATCATCATCATCATCATCATCATCATCATCAGCAGCAGCAGCAGCAGCAGCATCATCATCACTATCACCATCACCATCACCATCACCATCAGCTGCAGCAGCAGCAGAAGCAGCATCGTATTATGATTGTTACTGTTGCTCATTATCGTGGTAATCCGCCACCTCATCCTCCTCCAATGTACACAGCTCTGCTTCCCGATTGCGCATCACGCGACGTGCTCATCTGAAGGGTCCGGGTCTGCTGGGACACCCGTCAGCGGACACGGAAAGATCAGCGCAGTGAGAAGGGATGGGCGGGGTAGGACAACAGATACGGCGCCCTGGCCATGACATCGCCCCGCCAATGACATCCCCAGACCCTCGCCCTCACCCGTCCTCACCCCTCACCGCCTCTCTGGGGATACCGAATGACACCGATACCACTACTCCCCAGACCTCTCCCGGGGAGCGTTCTGACGCAAATTCCGAGGGGGATCCAGCCGTGGCGACGAGAGCCTCCAAGGAGGCCCAGAAAGGAGAGAAAACGAGGCAAGCGTAGAGATACGGGCTCCTCCTCCTCCTCCTCCTCCTCCTCCTCCTCCTCCTCCTCCTCTCCTCCTCCTCCTCCTCCTCCTCCTCCTCCTCCTCCTCCTCCCCCTCCCCCTTCTCCTCCTCCTCCTCCTCCTCCTCCTCCTCCTCCTCCTCCTCCTCCGACCCCGACTCCAACTCTGACTCTGCCTCAATCTGCCCAGCAGCAAGCGTTGCCCGAAACCGGCTGCCTCAAGCGGCCAACGTCAGCGGCGACGCTGGCAGCGAGTCCTGCCCGCGATTCGGGAGCGGCCAAGAGGGGAGCGTCCAAGAAGGCTCCGCATCGCGCCGCATCGCCGATGGATCGGCGATGCGGCGTGATCCCCGGACCCCATATGCTCGGATCCCATCTGGGAGGCCTAGACTCTCTCGCCCCACATCCATGCTCGGGGGCGGCAAAAGGAGGCGTCCAG